GCGCAATATGGTTCATGGGGTCACGAAGAATCGGACACGACTTAACGACTGAACAACAATTTGCCAGAAGGCTTTCAACATTGCCACTAGGTAAGGGGCACATGGTTTAAGTGTTCTTTTTATGGCCCTGAGAAAAGCAGAAGGTTATTTGATGGGAGATATTTGGGTTTTCTTCCTTCTGATGGTATCATTAAGAGCACAACATGAGAGTAGAATTAAGCCCCAGCAGTAGAGAAGATACTCTTTTTCAGTAAGACTTTTATGGAGAATGGAGATGTTGTTTTATGATTTGGACGCAGGATGTCAATATTCTCCAGCTTTATCCTTGTGCCATGTAAATGATCTAATTCTATGCTCATGTGTTTTATTTCTCTGCTTCCCTCCCTCTTTCTTCTTGTCATTCTTTTCCAGGCTCTTCAAACATGGTTACTGGGGAAACCAAAAGTTTCTTCAGCTTTGCAAAATCAGTAAGTATAAGGTCTTTCTGGCTTTGTTAGAGTTTATTTGTATGTGCCATTTTCCAAGTCTCTCTTCCTTCCCCCACCCTTTTCTCCCCTCTCTCCCTTTTAACAGCATGACTCATCTTTTGCAGATTCAGATCCAAACTAGGCATTATGCACAGCAGAGGCATGAATGTTCCATTAAGTGTATTAGTTTCTTGTTTGTACCTTTGAAAAAATGGCAGGGAAGTATGGCTTAAATCTATTACCAGCTAGATACGAATAGAAAAGCAACTGGTTGATTGTTGAAATCCACTGTCACAGAGTCCAGGGTAGAAATAGGTGGAATTTTGAGACAAGGTAATTTAGAACAGTCCAAGGGTCAAGCCAAAAGCCAAAAATCACCAACCTGGAGAATTGGTCCACAGATTTAACTAGGTGTTCAGATGCCAAATCCGATCTAACACAGCAAACTCTGATTTGGTTCATACATTGAGATGAACCCTGGTTTATTTTAACCTTGATTTGTTGAATAAGCCATAAGTGCTTAATCCACACATGTCACTGAGCCACAAACTATTTTTAGTGGCTGGGCATAGTGGCTGGGTTCAGATATTGTACTAAAGCAGAGGTGTACAACTGCTAGCAGTTCAACCTTCTGTGGCCCATCAGGAGCTGCATTTCAAAAATGGAGAGCATCAAGATCTGCAGGGGAAGGGGGCATGAAGGGGTGAAAAGCCTTAAGTCTCTACAATTTGCTTTTAACCTTGCAACAAATTCCAAAAAGGTAAAAAAGAAAAACTTGAACAATTTAACCATCCACTCTGGGAGTTGCAAAAGGGCTGGTGGGCTAAAGTAAAACCAAAATGCTCACTTATTTCCTACTTATGGCTTTGACTTCATTGGCTAAAAAATCAGAAGGTGAGTCAAACTTTCTCACAAAATGAATGAATGAATGAATGATTTCTGAACATCTTTACTAAGTTCTCACTGACTAAGCCATTCTATGTTTTTAGCTTTGGCTTAGTGTGTCATTGCAGACTCAGCCATTGTGGCTTCTAAGCAGTTATTTATAGTCTAGGGTTGTATATTAACTTAGTCATGGTGGCTTACTCATTATACTTAAACCCTGGTTGAATGCAATCTGGGAACCCAGCCAGTTTTCCCCTAACCTAGGTTTGACAAGGGAGAGTTGGTCTTTTTGTGAGAAAGTTGAGGGGCATGAGCTAGTAGGTCTTAGAAGCAACAAACTGAGGCTAAAGTGCCCATATCCTAGTGGTTCATCTGGATCTACCTGTGTTTCATTTTTTTTTTTTTTTTTTTTTTGAGATCCTCCAGTGTGCTGAAGCATTGAAGACCCTACTCCACCCCCTCTGGCCTCCTATCTAGTATACATTCATTGATTGAGTGATTGATTGATTGATTGATTATGAGATACTTCATGGATCTACATTGTAATATACATTTTGTCTTTTTTTATCCCCATGGGACTGCTTCTTCCTAATCATACATTGCATGCTACATTAGTGGAAATGAAAAGTACTATATGAGACAGGAGCTAATTTCCTGTGTTTCTGGAAAAAGAGTATGTGGGTGAAAGATGAATATGCACACTTTACTCACCTTCAGCCTTTCTGTGTTGGAAGAGAAAATCTACAAGAAAAATGTTACCATAGTCTGTTTGTCTGTCTGTCTGTCTCTCTTTTGTGAGAAGTACTCCAAGTTACTTCATCATTTTGAAAGCTCGCTCTCCACTTTTTTTTCCCAATTTTGCAGTGTTGTGTTTGAACAGCATTGATGAGAAAGGTAGACAGTTTCTCTTTTCCTAGGAATTCTTAGCAAGGAAGTTGCTTTTTCATGGAGGTTGTAATTGGCACCAGACTTGATGACCCACTATTTATGCAATTAGTAATTGCACATGATACTTTCTATAAAAGGAAATAACACTTGTAGGACAAGGGTATTAAGCTGATTGTCTTCTGATGTGGTCTAAATCTGGATTAGACTCCCATGGACTTGCAGTTAGCAGTGGAAAATGACTTGTCTTGCACCAAATGGAAACTTTTCATCTCATACGTACATACATACATTATATTATATATATACAGTGGTACCTCGAGTTACGAATTTAATCCATTCCGTGACTCTGGTTGCAACTCGAATTGGTCGCAACACAAGGCAAATTTTCCCATAAGGTTCAATGTACTTACCGTTAATCCATTCTGGCGTGGAGGTGGCTATTGCTTGGAAGGAGAGTCAGGGGCAGAAAAATGGCCGTGGACCACGTGTCAGGGGCAGAAAAATGGCCGTGGACCACATGTCAGGGGTGGAAAAATGGCCGCGGACCACGTGTCAGGGGCAAAAAAATGGCCACGGACCACGTGTCAGGGGCGGAAAATGGCCGCGGAGCATGTGTCGGGCTGAAAAATGGCCACGGACCATGTGTCAAGGGCAGAAAAATGGCCGCGGACCACGTGTCACGGGAGGGAAAATGGCCGTGGATCCGGTTCGTAACTTGAGGTGGTTCGCAACACGAGGTAAATTTTTGGGGCTGGAGCTGGTTGTAACACGAAAAATTAGTAAGCAGAGGCGTTCGTAACTCGAGGTACCACTGTGTGTGTGTGTGTGGGTGTGTGTGTATTTATATATATAAAAATATCAAATTTGTCACCGCCCATCTCATTGAAATTACTCTGGGCAGTTTACAGCAGAGATAAAATCAATTAAAATACAATATAAAAACAATCTTAATAATAAAGAATTATTTATTTATATATTATTTATTTATATATTATTTATATATTATTTATTTATATATTATTTATTAATAAATATAAATAGAAAAGCACATGACCCATTATCTGATCTAAGACCATGGCCCAGAGCAAAAGATTAAGGTTTCCCCTACTTCTCCCCATCCCCTCCAGGAGGCAAGTCCAGATCAGGAAATCTCTACACCCTTTTGGCTTTTTATCCACCCAATTGCCCATGCTTACTTCAGGAAGATCAAACTGATGTACATAATTCCCCCACTTCCCATTCTGACCCAAAACAAATCTGGGAAGTATATTGGACAAAGAGATAAAGCCAAGTGTCCTTTAGGTTGTCCTGGGCTTCTGGTGGCTTCACAAGCATGTCCATTTTGCAGCCGTAAGAAGATAATTTGCCATTTTCTTCTGAAATGGTGGGGTGGGTATATGCTTTACTTCCTAGTCTAATTTGATCCCCCAAACAAGTACTAATGAGACCAAACCTGCTTAGCTTTCAAACCCAGACAAGGTCAGAGACAGGGCTTAGAATCACATAGTGAAATTCATGACTGGACTGAGTTTTAATATCCCCATTCATAGTCCAAAATCCATTATTGGGCAATACTTTTATTAGGACCAACCATAATTACACAACATATTTCATTTATTTATTTATATTTCAAATTTGTCACCACCCATCACACTGCAGAGCGACTCTGGGCAGTAAAAAAGAATAAATACTAATTAAAATAGAATAAATATTAATTAAAATACACTACAACAACAATATCATGGGAGTTCTGTAGTTCTCCTGGACTTTTCAACAGGGTCTGAAATCATACTATATGGGTTATGTTTTCTCCTGAATGTACCCAGCATAAGGCCTAATTAATCAGATCTTATTTACCTTGTTAGGATGACTTAAAGGCGTAATATTTATTCACATGGTATACCTTGTTTCTAACCTTGTCGCAATTTGTGTGTCTTTAGTGGTGGCAAGTGGAGAAAGTGAATCCTATCAAACTCTACGAAGAAAACAAAGTCATGGCTGGATTTTCTCTGTTAAACCTGCTTTTCAAACAGGGCCGAAGTAGCCTAGTCACTAAAGTAATGGACAATCTCATAAAACTTTACAATGAGAGGAAGATCAAACCAGTGGTTGATTCACTGTGGGCACTGGAAGAGGTAGGGCCTTATCTTTTTCCTTCTCTGATATGCTTGTTTTGGTTTGTTTTTCAAACAATGCATCTTAAATAAATAAAATATGATACAGTCTTTCCATCTGCGTTCCTCAAATGACTTAATGGGAGCACTAGGATTTTATAAGCTTGTATAAAATATAACTCTTTTAGGATAGAGATGAGAAAAGCAAGGAGTCCATTTCCTCGTTCCATGTTCTTGTGTCTCAATTATTAGCATATTCAGTGAAATATGTTGTTGATTTGAGTTTTGGCAGCTTCTGATTCAATGTAGCTTGTTTAAGCATTGGCACTGTTCTTATTAAAAAATCTTGAATGCTTTCCAGTCACGTACACTTTGCTCTCAGTTATATCATACTATGGATTTTCTAGCTTACTGTCTCAAAAAGCTTACAGGGAATGCTTGCAGGACATGGCAGTCTCCTCCCAGAGCATTGAGCAACTACTAAATGTTCTAGCCAGCCCTGCTGGTTAAAGGTGCAAAGCTTTGTCTGGCACAGAGTTTCCCAACATGCACAACTTCAATATATATCAACTTTAATTCCCAGAGTACTCAGCAACAGCCATGATGGCTAGAGAAGTCTTGGAGTTGGTTCACACATCTGACATTTGCCCAGCTTGGGAAACACTAGTCTAGCATACCTGGAGGACATCAGACAGATAGGAAGAAAGGCCCAATGACAATACTTCAGAGAGATGAGGACTCAGGCTGGATGGGTCAAAAAAAAAAAAAAAAAAAAAGGTGGATTTAAGGACTTAGCTAAAAAGAAAAGGGTAGCATCTTGAGGGGAATTAAAGAGATGAGAAGGGACATCTAAGCATGTCATGCTTTATTGTGTCCCATAATGAGAATAATCTGAAAAATATATTAAAATAGGATTGATTAGAATAAGCCTTCATGCAAATGTATATGAATTTTAGTGCAGGCTTTTAAAAATGTAAGAAGACGTAGAAATGGAACAAAACAAGGTTGAGAAATAAGAAATGGAGTGAAACCAAAAATTGGTAGATTTGTCCTTTCCAATTAGCAGGCAGGGCTAGAAGTTCCTATGCTCATATATGTAAATGGTAGCATGCTATCTTATAAAATAACATTCTTTCATTTGTTTGGTAACACTTCATACCATTTGGCAGTAATCTTTCCTATCACTCTGACATTAGCTTAAGAAGTACATAAATACAGTCTGTTCAAGACTATCGTTTAGCTCATTCATCAAGCCTACTCACTGTCATCTGGTGGGGAAATGAAAAAAACACATTAAACCTTATAATTATCCTCGTCCTTTCCTTTCCTCTCTGATATACACTTATTTTTCAATTATCAGTCTGAGGTTTTTCCTGAGTTGCCATATTAAGGGTGGTATTGTCATTCATCTTTGGAATCCAGAGTCTCAGAGGTTACATAGCAAAAAAAAAAAAATTAAAGCCATCAAGGGTATATGGCCAGGATGTATCCAACTCCATGCTTGGCAGAAATACAAACAGACAAGGACACACAGAAAGGTAGAAACTTCTCTTTTCTCCCCAGTGACTAAAATAAAAGATTTTTGGCTGCTATTATAAAGACAGTGTTCATGTTGTACCTCAAAGCAGCAGGAGGCATGATGCAATCTGCAATGCAGGATGGACAAAATGCAGTTTTCAATCCAAATTTCAGTGTATCAATGCAGAGAAGTCACACAAACTACTCCCAGTGAAGAAGATTCAAGTAGTTGGGAAAAGGCATTGAAAGAGATGAACTTTCAGGACCCTGGACAGGTAATTAGGAGCTGAACACTTGGGCCCAGCAAGTTTCTGCTCCAACTGAGGCCATACAAATGTCTGCAGTCTTCTACAGTATGTTACTTCAAGGTTCTACCCACTATCTCCAGCTGAAGAGTAGAGACGTCCTCAAGGGTTTTGTCTTAGATTCCCAGATGGTACTGCTAAGCATGAAGCTTTCTGATGAGGGAGTTTCTAGTTTATCTGGAAGCCAGTCCTGGAAGTGAAGGGTCTGTAGTCTTCATTTAGGGACCTTGAGTCTACACTTTTATCACGGGTTGCTCTCTCTGCCCTGTGTGTGTCAACGTTCTAGTTTAGTATGATATTATGACTGTTCTGTTGCCAGGTGTTTTTGTTGAGAACTGACTACGTGAATAAATATCACAGGTGTCCATGGGAAATAAAACCTAATAACTATATCCATTTATATTAGTTATGGATGGGTGGGTATTAACTCAATACGTTGGTTGCTTTGTTATGGTAAAGTTCACATTGTCAAACTAAACATTAAAAATAGAAGAGTGATTTTGTTAATTGGAACTTTTTCTCCCCTAAGGTCTGCCCCTTTCTGCAGCTAAACTAATGAAATGTACTGTACATTCATGCTTGATATTTCCATGACAACATATTCTCTGTCATGCAAATCAATCTATTAATGGGAAAAAGGCCAAGGAGAGTGGTGTACTGGCATTCCACTTTGTCATTTGCCTTGCAATATGTAACAATCTTCCTGTTCTGGTTTCTCTATTAAATAAACATCAGATGTTCAAAGTCTATTAATATATTTAGATGGTAGATCAGTGCTATCCTTCTTATTTTCTTCCAGCACAGCACTGGTTCCTGTAATCAAGTCAACTGTCTTCAGAAGAGATCAAAGTTAGTAGAAACCTGAGGTTTGAATGGGCCTACCAATTTACCATTATTGTTTTTGACAAATTTTGGCAAGATAAGGGAAGAGTTAAAGTAAGAAAAAAACTGTAAGCCTGGAACCAAACCAATAAGAATTCATCTTTGAAGATGAATGTAAGGAACAAACTGTTAGTTAGATACTAAAAATGATAGAGGTTGTCTCAGTTTACTCTGCTTGAAATTAAGTATAATGAGGTTTAGTTATAAATAAATGAAAATAGACTTGGAGAGAGATGGGATCCATCTACACCATCTGGCAGACACCATATTTCTAAATGTCCATAGCCAGAGACCAATTCTAAATGATTACTAATTAGATTTGAGAACAAAATACTTTGAGGAAAGACAGATGTAAGCCAGAGTCCTAGTATTCATTCTCCAAAATCAAAAATTGGGAAGAATAAATGGATTCTCTAAGTAGTGTTGCTTTTATTACAATGTATTTATGTCTTCAGCTCAGTATCATAGAAACAACCACATATCAAAAGCTGTCCTGGACAGGGAAAGTTTTAGTATACATTGAAAGGCCATTAGTGAGCAAGTGAAATTGTTTTCCCACAGAGGAAGCCCAGAACCTAGGAATGCCACTGGGAGGGCCTTCTCTCAATCCCAGTTAAGTATAATTCATAATTGCTAGGGGCAAGCTCTAAAGTAGCAGACAATCCTTCAAATATCCTAGTCTCAAAGCAGGAAGGACTTAGAACAATGCAGTACTGAAGTCTGCCCTCCTATTTCCTGAACATTTTCCTTTTCCCTTTCAGGCTGCTTCAGAATTTCTGTAGAATTTATTTCAGTTCTTGAGCTTTGATTGAGAAGCTGCTTCTGTTGCCATTGTTACTGCTTCCTTTTATAGATCTCTCCATTACTTTGCAGCCCCCCTAGTTGCCTATATTCCCTAATCTGAAATAGCCCCAGGGAGCAGGTCATTAGGATATCTTCCTGAAGATAAATTGAACCCTCTGAAGCCAAGGAAGCTGCAGAGTGATGGAGAAATGATGGTGTATGCTGATATTTTCAAAGAGATGTGCTATCCATGTAAAACAGATTGAACCCCCACTCCCTCAATTAACAAGTATTTGGAATTCAAATATATATGGGCTACATGATTGAATTCTACACGTGAGTCCCCATAACTCCCTCTCTAAATGTAATATATTATGTAAATATATAAAGTAATATCTAAATATAATGTATAAAGCCACTGCAGATGTAATATATTCCCCCTGAGCATTATGATATGGAAGATCAGAGTATAATATAAACCTTTATGAATGATTCAGAGATTACACCTGGTGCAAAATGCCATTGCCAAGATACTAATAGGGGCAGTTATAAAGGAACATACAATCCTGTTCATGAAAGAGCAACCATGAGTTCCAGGCCAAATTTACTGTGCTGCTGTTGACCTAGAGGCCTCTAACTTGCAGGACCAGATATATGAACATTTCAACTTGCCCATGTCCTTACACATGAGAGGAAAGTGGGAGACCAGTCTGATAGTCCCTCTATTCACAATTAGAAATGATGAGATCTTCACTCTGGTGGAAGACTTCTAATGCAGACAGTCCTCTACTTATGAACTTTTGAATGATGAACTCTCACTGATATGAACAAACCTGTCCGCAACTCCAACCTAGAAGGTCCCAAAAGGCAGGAAATGATTTGTTTACAGCACCACATACAATATGTACGCTTGGCAGCACCATCATGTATTGGGAGGCTGAGCATTTTATCCTTGGTTGGACTTATGAACAAAATGGACTTACAAACAGCCTCTTGAAACGTAACCTGTTTGTAAGTAGAGGACAGTCTGTAATTGAAGTTTTAGAGTGATCTGTAAAGGTAAACTCGTCTATAATGTATTGCTTTTAACAACAGAGGTATTCTTCCCCCCCCCCCTTTACTTCTGACTGTTCTTTTTTCTCTTTGCTTTTCTTTTCTTCTTTCAAAGTAAATCCATTGGGGGAAGGGAGGAATTGTTGCTGCAGATGCAACTCACCTTAAATCAGGGTTTCTACCCACTGGTGAGTTGCAACTCATCAACAGTAGACCAGTGGTCATAAGCTGATATAAACTATGGTGGGAACTGGATATTTGCATGTATATACACTAGTGTAAAACAGATTTAACCCCCACTCCCTCGATCAACTCCAATGATCGGGGGACCCTTGGTGTTGTTGGAAGTAAGCTTCAATTTATTCTCATACTGAGTCCAATATCACACTTCCAGGCACCACTACAGCCTCCCTGGTACAAGGTGGAAAAATGAGATAGAAGGGGATGTCATCCACATTCAATGACATAAATATCTAGAAG